GTCTGAGTGGTCTGTTGACTGACCTTTGTATTTGTTCGAATAATTGTTATGGGCAGGTTACAATATAAAAATATTTGTATTTTTATATGTATATATTTGTATATAAAATATGCATTATTTAAAGTGTTGATACAATATCTGCTTTAATGTGCATTGAAGAATAACAAACAGTTCAAAGGAATGAGAATTTTAAAAAAGTGTTAATTTCTTCTCACGCTTTTTTAAACAATTAACTAAAATGACTGAATCTCATGTTGCAAAACCTTTTTTGTATTCTTGTGTTTATACAGTATGTATTTATATCTATTCTTTTTGAGTTTTATTTTACTTAATTTGTTCAAAATAAAAAACCTATTATTTACTTTTAACAAAGAAAAAAGAAATTAACAGACCAGCTTATAAAGCCTGATACTGATGAACAAAATATTTGTTTGCCCACTCAGCTTTCCTGTGCAACATCTCTTCTGGTTTCCTAGCAACATCAAAGCTCATTGCACCAAACATTTGTTCATTTGTGAACTAATTTTGCTTAAAATTTCCAATGAAACCACCCTTTGTGAGAAGAAATGAGTCACGTTGAGCTATGATTTTATAAACTTTGATTTAAGCTCGAGACGACGTGGGGGTGAAGCTTCAGTTGCGTCATCCTTAAGAGCATTTCCTCATTGGTTGGACAACAACAACAACAGCCTTAATAATAGTAATAATAATAATAAAGGTCAGGGCTCAGACTCTCAGCCTTCCAGTACATGCCTCACTTATAAGTAGGTTTGGATAAAAGAGTGCACTAAACTGACTGAGGTATTTTAATGTGTCCTGTGAACAAACACACACATCATCGACACATAATTCATCTCGTGTTACAGTGAAGCCGAGTCCCTCTGCTCCTCTAAACTCCCATTAAGGCCACAAATAGATATTCCATTTTACACGTCAAACAGTTTGTGGACGAAGCCATCTGCCGCTGTGGTTTGTGTCCCCGGGCGGATTCTGTTCCTCGCCAGCCCATAATAAAAGGAACAGGGGACTCAGATGGCGACAGTGTGTGTGTTTTGTGTGCGTGTTCGCGTATGTGTTGTGTTAGATCTTAGACAAAAAAGTCCTTCCTGACTGTTTGACAAATCCATTTTTGTGAGAAAGTTGACGTTTGTGTTGCTGAACTTTTACCTCGGGCTGGTTTTCTTTTTTTTTTTTTTTCACGTTTCATTTTCAGACGATAAAAGTCAAGGTTTTATATTTTCTGAATGAAGTGTCAATCAAAACCCACTTAAAGTAAATGACCTCTCAGTGAGGTTTATGTAACTTAAAGTGTGTTGCGTAACTTATTTTCTTTCCAGGTTTACTGTAACAACTCTGATTTTTAAATCATTCTTTTGAAACTTTCAGCGTTTATCTTCCACTTTGTTCTGCTGTTTTTGCCTCTGTCATCAGTTTTGTTTCTAAAAACACGTCCTTTACGCCTCACTCTGTTTTGACTTGGACGTCCTCTCTGCAGATGCAAYGTCCAGGATTACATCTGGCACAAGGGCGCTCGCTGCGAGTCGGTGGTGACCGAGTTCCAGGTGATGTGTCTGGCCGTGGGCGCCTCGGCCCTGGTGGTCCTGCTGCTCTTCATGATCATCGTCTGCTTCGCCAAGAAGCTCCACGTGCTCAAGACGGAGAACAAAAAATTGCGCAAGCGCAGGTGAGGCGCCATCAAGAGTCTGAGGGGTTTTAATAAGTCTGTTTTCTACCTGACAGTTAGATAAAAATATGAAGCGATACAATTCTAACTCAAACAATAAATAAAAATAGAGACGGGTACTAAAAAACAAGATTTTTGTTTAAAATACGGAAGTTAAAATGAAAATACAAAGCGTTTCTTATTCTTAGTGTCAAAAAGAAATTAGCAAAATTTTAAAAATGATTTGTTTCATTTTCAGATAACACAAAAGAAAAAAAACTTTAAAACAGAAACGACAAAAGGCTTTTATGCCTCGACAGGTTGTGCCAAGTTACTGTATCCCCAACAACAATCTGTTCCCCCACCAGAAGGGGCGCTCGCGTTATTAAAGTTATTCAATGAACATCCCATTACAAGTAAAAAGCATCGATATTGACTTCGGTATCAAGTATTTTTGCCAAGTATTTACTTGGTATCGGATCTATATCAAAGTCGTTGTACCGCCCATCCCTCGCTGAAAGGAACCGTCCGAGCTCAAATCATTAAAAAGAAATTTGCTCATCCTTTTTTGACACTAAGAATGAGAAATGGTTTATATCTTTATTTGAATATTTTAAAACCAAAATCAAATAGCAACCTG